GAAGATCCCTGCTGGCAGCTGCTGCTTCTTAGACGTTAGTGGGTCACCGGGCGCTTTATCTGATACGGGCTCTTCTGCTTTCCCCTCCGTGTGCCTGCAGACAATGTCTAGCAAGGAAAAAGGAAAGTTTGAAGAAATGGCTAAAGGAGACAAAGCTCGTTATGACAGGGAGATGAAAAACTATGTTCCTCCCAAAGGTGAGAAGAAGGGAAAGAAGAAGGACCCCAACGCTCCTAAAAGACCACCGTGAGTGTTTCTACTACCACCCCATCCTCCCCACCAAAGTATCAGTTCTGATAGTCTGATACATAATTTTAATCACTTTCTCTCATTTTAGATCTGCGTTCTTCCTTTTCTGTTCTGAACACCGTCCAAAAATCAAAAACGATCATCCTGGCTTGTCTATTGGAGATACAGCGAAGAAATTAGGAGAAATGTGGTCGGAACAGTCGGCCAAAGATAAACAGCCATATGAACAGAAGGCTGCAAAACTAAAGGAGAAATATGAAAAGGTACTGTGAGAGTGATAAAATAATGGCTGAAGTTGTAGAGGTCACTGTAAATGTGTGACCTCTGTTTTGTACCTAAACCATATATGGTTCATAATTCTAAATTTTTACATCGAACTTTGTCAGGCTTCAGAATGCATGGAAAGATATGGCGTGGGAGGTATCTGGCAGCCTCACAGTGAACCTGGATGTGGTTTTTACATGTCTAGAGATTTTACCAGTAAGATAGTTTACTTCAAGAAAACGGGTCACCTACTTGGTAAAATACACAGTCATACTCCAAAGCCCTGTGGTCATAAAATTCTTAAAACTGTCTGCATCACGCGTTTTCTTGCCAAAAGGTCCAAGCATGGAAGTCCCGAGGTTGAAACCCTGCTTTTCTGCACAGGCTGTACTTGATCTGCACAGCATAGTGGTATTAAATTATTGAAGCAGTACGACTTTGTCTTCAGAGTTACATTGCCAGCAACTGAACAGCATTTTTCTTGCAGGATATTGCAGCATATCGTGCCAAGAGCAAGAGTGACGCAGGAAAAAAGGGCCCAGGTAGGCCTGCAGGATCTAAGAAGACAGCAGAACCAGAAGAGGAGGAGGAGGAGGAGGAAGATGATGATGAAGAGGAGGAAGAAGATGAGGATGAGGAATAAATGAATGTCCTGCTGTAAAGATTTATGCTCAAAATCCAATATTTTGCTAAGAATGTGAACTCAAGTGCAGCTCATTGTTAGCTTCAGTATAAAAATCTGTACAGAATTGTGTATAGGTAATGTGGTTCTTTGTAGGGAGACCTTTATTTTTAATGTCAGTAGTAGCCGAGGGCTGCTACTGTTTGGTTTAAAGAAAAAGAAGAAAAAGTTGTGGAATGTTTCTGCATATTTAATGGTTTTGTTGAAATTCAGTGACTGATAGCCAGGTGTTTCTTTATAGCTAAGTAAAAACAAAGGAGGTAGCTTAATAGCTGATCTTGTATTTTGTAGTATATTGCATTGTATTACTTTTTTAACAATTTTGTAATAAAATGTTGTACATGATTACTGTTGTGTTCTTGATGTTTCTGAGACGCTGGGTACTCCCAGGATGCTGAAGCCCTGTGCAGGGTAAGGCTTTGCATTGTTCTTGGGCTGTTGTTGCTGCAAAATGGGCAAGTCTTGAAGTGTTGACTCCTGGAGTTTATACCGGATTGGAAACTTATTTTGGTTCTTGAACCACAGTTCTCTCTCCCACATGTACTGTACTACCCTTAGTGGTAACTGATCTTTTCCGTCTATCACCTTCTGAGAGAAAAAAATACCTCAAGTACCAAAGTTGCTGATACTCCTGGATTGGATTCCCCCCCTCCCTGCAACTACTGAAGCAGAGGTCTTAAAGTTTTTGTCTTTGGTGTATTAGCTGGTAATGAGTGAATCTTAGGAACTTTCTCTCCCAGAGCTCAGGAGCACGGGCCTTTTCTGCTGTCCAAATTGGGATAGGAAAGTTGGCTCTAAGACAGATGTGGTTAGAGGTATGCCTTCCCAGATGTTCCCTGCTCCTTCCCTCTCCCCCTGGCCCCCCATTAGTGGCGTCTCATAAAATACACAGCTTGCAGAACAGCGTGAAAAATGTTGGAATGTTATCTCCGCACATGCCAACAGATTCCTGCAGAAAGGAGAGGAGGCATTTTCAAAGAACACGTGCTCCTGATACGGCCTTGTTCTTGGTGTTAACAGTATCACCAGATACGCTATTTCTTGGTCTTCAGCTTTTACACAAACTTCAGTATGAATCTCTAAGTCTAAATCCAGATATCTAACAATATTTCCAAGTGGGAACTTGGAGATCCTACAGCTGAACTAACGGCTTCAGTTTAACTTGTTGAGATAAATACTAGTTTTTACTAGCCTTTTAAAGCTCAGTGCTGAAAAACATTTAATACGTGGAATAAAGTAAGTCCTAGACCGGGCGGGCTTCCACCTTTTTAATGTGCCTCCCTCTTGTCCATCAGCTTCTGAAATAAATTTGTGTACAGTCATGGTACCTGTGTAAGATAAAATGTGATTTCAGCACTGTAAACCATGGCAAAAGATAATACAGCACTTTCTGAAACAAGAGTCTTGACAAGAACAGTTTGTGTGTTCCTGTAAGTACGGAAATGAGGTAACCGTAAAGGCAATTCAAACATTTTTACATTGAAGCAGGTACTAAACCTTTGAAGGCCTTTAGGAATCCAGAGTTGCTCTTTCCTCCCCACCCTGCCGCCGAGACAGCTCAAGGGGTATCGGGAGGATGAGGCACTGGTTTAGATGTTGGACCTGCCGGAGATACTGGGCGCAGGCAGGATCGCTGGCTCCATTTTGCAAGCTCAGATTCTGGGAAGCCACAGGCACAAACTGGGAGGGGGAGGAAGTTCTCTGCGCGATACATCCATTTTCTCCTGCAGAAGGCTGGCAACCCTAAAGCCCCTTTATCCTTACCTCCAAAGTCCTTCCAGCTCGAGACAATCCCGTGTCTCAGCGTGCAGCCGAGATGCCACTGGTCTCCCTCATTTTCAGCACGTTCTGTTCAAATCTCCCTCTAGAAACGCACCATCACCTCCCTGAACAGAACGGTGGTGCTTGAAGAAGTCCTTCTGATTAGATTTAAATAAATCTTTTCCAGTGGAGCGGTAACATCAGAGTAAATTGACTAGTTTGATGATTTGAAATGTTTTTTTTTTTACTTCTGCTCAAGTGCTTTTAAATTGAAACGAAATATAACCCTTCAGGTGTCCTCGAAAGCTGCGTGGGTTACGGGATTTTAAATACTGTGTCGGAATAAGAGCGTATCTTGAGGTAATTCAGAATAAAGGAGCTCTTCTAATATTTTCCTCAGTGAGGTAAAATGACTTTTGGGTTCAATTTCATTTAGCATTATTTGGCTAATTCAGCTTAAGCATAATTTCCGCACAAATCCGTGCAGAACTGCCTGATGTTGCCACCCTGGTGTCCCACGTGTCCTGACATGAAAAGCCACCCGTGGGTCACTTTTGTTTATGATCTCATTTACAAATACATCCTGACTGCTGGAGAGACCTTTGCTGCAAAAATAGCCTGCTAGCCTGACCCACATCATTACACAGATCATTTTGTGCGCACGCCACGTCGGCGTGAGCCGTGGCAAGCCACAGCAAAGCTCTGCATCAAGCTGATCTATCAGCTGAAGATGATGTCATGACTGAAGATAACTAGTAATTTCTTTTAAAGAATGCTTTGCCCTTTCGATAAGGATGTTGAATATAGATTAAACGCAAATGGAAAGGAGCGTGTGGAAATTACTACTTTCAAATTAAGCTTTAAAAAGTACGGTATGTCGGGTCAGGGCGTTCAGACACTGCCCATCTGTGAGCACTGAAAGAACCAGCGCTGGGAAGGACGAGTAAGTGATCAAAGTTTAAGAGGAATGTTCAGAAAAGATAAGGCCACAGAAGAAAAGCTAAATTAGTTTTTCACATCCGTGTTCAATATGGACAATCTTATGAGATTACTCCCTGGAAACGTTTCGCTGGAGGTGAACTGGGAAGTCTGCCTCAAATCAAAACTAAAAAGGATGCCCAAAACGGTTGCAGGCATCAGGGAGACCGCTCACGTCGCACTAGAGGTCCAGCAAAAAGGCACACCACCCAGTCAAGCAGACCAAAAGACCACCAAAAATACGACCGAGATGGATAAAGAGCAGGTATGAGAGAATAACAAATGTAGGAAAGCAGTCTCTAAAAAGTTGAAGTTACTTCTAAACCAGTAAACCAGAAGAAACCTGCACCCAGGCGCAGCAACGTGTGGCAGGGAAAAAGGGCATCAGAGCGACGGGAGAAAACACACGGATTAGCAATAACTTGCAAACACAGCAGAAGCAGGAAGCCTGCCACGCAGTCCTGGGGACAATAGATGGTCAAGATATAGTAGCAATGCCTAGAAAGGTTTCAGGAAAAGAAATCTTTTTTTTTTTAACCTTGCAGAGGAGCTTCAGGAAGTTTTCGTGACAGAACTTTTTAATGGGGGAGGCATGGTGGAGCATCTGTCTCAAATCCAAGTATAAAAGGTTTTGAAACAAAATGACAGGACAGATGGTATTCATCCAAGAGTTCTAAGGAAACTCAAGGATGAAATGGCTGAACTATGAACTGTACTTTATATTTTTTCACTTAAAACTGCCTTAGTGCTAGAGGAATGGAAGGTCACAAACACGACACTAATTTTTAGAAAGCATTCTGTGGACGTTACAGGGGACTTCAGACCAGTAATGCCCATACGGCAAGTTGGTAGGAGCCAGAGTACAGCCAAGAGTGGCTAAGTAGGACTTGTGGTTTCACAAGAGGAAATCCTGTTCCACAAACCTGTAAATATTCTCCAAAGAAATCAGTGAACACGAAGGTAAAGCAGATCAGGTAGTTCTGGTCTACTTGACTTTGGTCTGGTCCAATTCTCATAAAAGAAGTAAGTTATCAGCGAAGGCCTTGCATGAACAAATAACTGGTTAAAAATACAGGAACAGAATAGGAATTAGTCAGCAGTTCACCAGTGGAGGAAAACCACCTATGAAAACCATAGGTTATTTTTGGAGATGGGGTTAATGGCTAGTGATTGTTTAATATATACTTAAGTGATGTGGAAAAAAAGTGAACGGGTGCTGCAAGAAAGATGAGAGGTAACAGCGAAGAACTGCAAAGCCAGGCTACAGCCTGAAGTGACAGGATACTAAAACCAGCAGGTGAAATACGGAGTTAATACGAAGTGTATTACATGTTAACGTGTGCTCGCCCAACACGTGCGAAGGGGAAAAAGCAGGTCTAACGATCACGCCACGGGGAACGAGGGTGGACAATAAACTCCATTGCATTAGTCTGGAGGAGATGTCGAAGCTGTAATAGATCATTCCGTGACTACGTAATAGATGTTTGCCAGCAAAGCGAACAGCATGTCAGGCATTATTAGGTAATGAGTTAAGAACAAAACAAATATTTAGTATTTCATTACCACCTTCCTAAAGGAATATAAACTTTCCTTTTTCTTAGATCAACTTCCTGAACAAAGCCTATTTACAAAGTTGGTCTTATTTATCCCAAGTTACAACGATGTTCTGAAGAACAGTGAATATGTCTCTCCAGGGCTTTTTTGTGTTTTCAAAAGGAAAACCTTGATCAGAACAGCTATAGACCTAGGAACTGAATGTATACAGGCTTTAGAACTCAAATACCACAAAAGAAATTGCAAACGGGTGCGGAGAGATCAGAAAAAAATGGAATAGGAGTTCCTATTGATCATCCTAATGATCTATTGAACTGTTTTCATAGCTGTCTATCACAGGCATCTTGTGTAGAGTATCGGTACATAATCTAGTACTTATTGCTCAGTGATGGATTATTTGCTGCGGTGGTGACTGTCACTGATCCTGCTTCACTTGCCTTACCATCCTTAGCGTATAATTATTTTTCGGCTTGTTTTCTCATTTTGGCTTTCATTTCTTTCCACATCTTGAAATATCTAGTGTTTTGCCAGCAACCCCTGCATTTCCGAAATTGCTGGGCCTCTCGTTTGAGCTGCATCACAGCCCCGTCTGCTTTTCCACGATTCCTTTTGAATCCAGTGTCAAGAATCCCGTAACGGAGCCCAGATGTCGAGCTCGCTGCTGCGTTATCCAGTGCACGCGGCCCTTGAGGGACGCGTAAGTCTGCTAACTGTGGGATGTGCACGAGATTCAGACCTATCTGGTAAAAATACTGCCTGCCTACACAAATTTCTCTTCACCAGTGCAATTAAGTAATTGCCACAGGCCAGCACCAACTACTGAGTGAACCTGTACGTTGCTCCGACTATCCTGAGATCCTGAGATCAAGTATCGCCCCTAGCCTCAGTGTTGGAGAGGCTCTTGATGTTCCAGGACTGAATATGGAGTCAACCCCCAGAAAAATATAGCCAGCAAATCCAGTGCTCCACCTGTAAGTTGTATGGCTGTTCTCAATGGCTCCTGGCCCTAACATCTAATGGTAAAGTTTATACCCTCATAAATCAGTTCTC